GGCCTTACTGGTAAGGCCTCCATACCGGACCCTTTCTTTTTTACAAGCACAAGTTTTTGCTTAAGTTATTTTGTTTTGTAATAAATTTTTTTTTTTTTTTTTTTCAGTTCTATCCAAAAGAATACTTAATAAAGCTATTAATACCCCTAACTAATCTATATACCTGCTAGAAACAAAAATTTCATGTATCCACATCTATTACAATATTTTTAAAAAATAACAATAAAATTCATGCGCATGTTAATCACGTGCTTTCTGCTAGTCTAATAATACATAAAAGAGCCAAAAGTTCTTGAATAGTACTCTACTCTTAAGTTGCCACACGGCGGCTTCTCTTCCTCCTTTCTTTTTTATTTTTCTTTTCCTTCTTTACATTTTTATCTTAATTCTTTTTTACTTTAAATTTTTTCTTTTTATTTTTTTGTTTATGATTTTTTTTTTAATTTTGCTCACTTTGCTCCAATGAACATAATGTCTTTTACATGTGTTTCTATTTATTTCTTTTGTCAATTTTATGAATTTTTTTTGTAGTTTAATTATTTTTACGTGTGTTTTTCTTTTTATGTTCTTCTTTTGTTTTTATGGTTTTTTTTTTTTATTTTGTCAAGGGCTCTTTTATAATTTATTCTTTTCACAACCATCTATATATCAAACCTAACATCTAACGTCTGTAAAAGCAATCAAGTCGACTTAGGAGGCCACGTGTTGGCTTCCTCTTTCTTCTTTTTTTCTTCTCTCTCTTTTTAAATTTTTAAATTTTTTCTTTTTTTGCCAATTGCTTTTTATTTTATTCCTCTTTGAGAACTCTTTTACTTTTTACAATATTCTTTTTTTGAAATACTATCTTTTAATTAAAGTAATCCTTTTGAATATATCCTTACTTTTTTTAATCAAAAACTCCTATATAACTTAAATTCTTTTTTTTTCCTTAACTTTTTCTCTTTTTCTCTTTTTATTTTTTTTATTTTTCTTCTTTTCGTTTGCTTATTGACTTTTTTCTCTAACATTCTTTGACCGTTATATTTTTTTTTTTTACAATAACCTTATTTGGAATACTTTCGTTTCCTCACTTTATTTTAATTAAAATAATTCCTTTTAAATGTCCTAATACTAAAGTTTTTTTTTTCTTGGTAGAAAATTCCTATATAATTTAAATTCTTTTTCAATATGATTTTGAAATTTTTTTTTTCTTGCTCTAAGGACTTACTTCTAATAAGACTACGTGTTTTGATATGAGGATTAAACTTATAAAGATATTCTTTAAATGTGTAGTACGTGACTTAACTAGTATAATAAAAAAACTTGATATAGACGTAGCATAGTTGTATAAACAGAGCCATAGATATCAATGATATGGGGATTACACTTTGAAGTTTAATAAATAAGCGAGAAAAAAACCAACAAAAAAAAAAGTAGAAAAGACATGTCCAAGTATCCAGGTCTTCGACGACTTTTCTAAATGATCCAAATAAACAAGAAAAACTGAAGAAAATGTGGTCAACTTGAATGTTTTATGTGATGTTTGTTTTAAGCATTCGTCTTCAGTTCTTGATTTTTTACAGTATTTTTTTTCATAAAAAATTTAAATTTCAAAAATTAGAATCATCAATCATGGTTTTAAAACCAGAAATTAAACGTCCCATTAATAATGAAGCCTTAAGTGGATACTTTTTGAGTTAACAACATCTTTACCAATAACACCGTTTTCAATTAATTTTTACGTTTTGAAAATTTCTCTGCTAGACACTAACAAAATAAAAAATCAAAAAGATTATTTTTAATCATTAGATCTGTATTAAAAAATATTTATTCTACATATTTTTTTAATTTAATATAATTTTATCTAGATTTAATGGTAAGAATTTGACCCTACCGGTAAGACCTCCCTACCGGAGCAAGACCCTTTCTTTTTTGCAAGCATAAGTTTTTGCTTAAGTTATTTTGTTTTGTAATAAGATTTTTTTTTTTTCCAATTATATCCAAAAGAGTACTTAATAAAGCTATTAATATCCCCAACTAATCTATATACCTGCAAGAAACAAAAATGTCATGTATCCACATCTATTACAATATTTTTTAAAAATGGATAAAATTATTTTGGTATCTCGTGTTAAAGCGAAATATATTCTTGATATCCTATCTTTTTGATAATATTAAAGTGGTATCTCGACGTTTTCAAAAACATCTTTTTGGTACCTTAAAAGTGATTTTTGAGATGTAAAATGACCTTAATACCCTTTTATTTAATTAATCAAAAACTAATAGATCTAGGAAAAATCATGAACTTTTTTATTTTGTTATTTTTTTAAATATTTTAATGCTTTAAAATATTTTCAAAATTTTTTTCAAAAATGTTAATTTCTATTTAATTGATAAGAATAGTAGTTTGGACATTACATGTCCAAAAAATAAGTTGAGGATAGCAAGAAAATATTTTTAAAACGTCAAGGTGCAATCTTAATATTATAAAAAAAAAAACACAAGGTATTAAGAGTATGTTTCACTACAATAAAATGTACTAAAATGATTTTATCCCTTTAAAAAATTACAACAAAATCCTTGCACCTGTTAATCACGTGCTTTATGCTCGTATAGGAAAAATGCTAGATGTAGACGTAGTAAAGTTGTATTAACACAGCCATAGATATCAATGATACGGGGATTACACTTTTTGGTTAGGCGGAAAGGAAATGAATAGAATGGAATATAATTCTAGTTTGATATTTGGTTGGATTTATAAGAAATGAATGGTCATTTAAAAGGAATAGTCATTCACTTATTTTGGGTTAATCATCGTTCATTCCTCACATGGAAGGAATGACCATTCCAAATTCTTTTCTTTGTTTTTTTTTTTCATAATTACCCTTCAATATTATAATATAATTAAAATATACTATATAGTAGTTATATCTTATAATATGTAATATAATATAATAATTAAATTATAATATATTTTTTTAATATTCTATAATAATATATATAATATATCATAATGTAATTATATCTTATAATATAATATATAATAATATTACAACATAATATATATAAAATAATATAATATAATTATAATATTTTAACAAATAATATCATAATTATACTAATAATTCTAATATTATTATTTTATTATATTATATAGTATTAATATAATTATATTTATTATATTATTAATAATATAATAATTAATATAATTAAATATTAATATAATCTTATAAAATTTTATTATATTATATTACATTTTATATATTATAATATTATAATTATATTAACAATTTTAATAATATTGTTATATTATATATCATAATTATATAATAATAATTTTATTATATTATATTACATTTTATATATTATAATATTATAATTATATTAACAATTTTAATAATATTGTTATATTATATATCATAATTATATAATAATAATTTTATTATATTATATTACATTTTATATATTATATTAATTATATTGATATATAAAATATTAATGTTATATATAACATAAAAATAATTTTATCAAAAATATTCATATTTTATTTTATAATATTTCAAAACTTATAATTAAATAAATAAATAAAATATTTTTTTATTTTATTATCATCACTATTTTCATTCTCATTATTATTATCCGTAACACACTTCTAGAAGTTTAATAATTAAGCGAGAGAAAAAAAAAATCGAAAAGACATGCCCAAGTGTCCAGGTCTTCGACGAATTTTTTAAAAGATGGGGCCTCTGGTGGAAATTGCTTATTAGGGCTGCTGACCCTGCCCAAGTATCCAGGTCATCGGCGACTTTTCCAAATGATCCAAATAAACAAAGGAAAAACCGGAGAAAATGTGGTCAACTTGAATGCTTATGACGAAACCTTATTTTAGTCTGTTTCGCTTTAAAGGTCGTTACGATCATAGATTAAAATTATGAGATTATAATTATTTTTAATTTATATATATATTTTATGAAAAAAAATATTATAGTAAATTATGAATCATGATTCAAATCAGAGAATGAATCCTCTAACTAAACAGGACATCAAAATTATGATTTAAAATTATTTTAGATTTATGTCTTATTTAGTTTTAATTTAGAATCAAAATTATTATTCATGATTTTAGATTTAAATTATAATTTTGAAATCAGAATCAGAATCATAGATTTGAACCACTTAAAATTAAAGGTGAATAATTTTAGAATTAGGAGTGATTCATAATTTAAAACATCACATTAGAGTTTAAATCTTGAATTAGAATCATCTAAACTAAATATTGATTTAAGGTGAGTCAAATCAAAACTGCTATTTACTTTTTATAAATAAATACTGATTTGAAATCAGAATCATAAATCCTTATTTCAGTCTGTTTCGCTTTAAAGGTCATTACCGTTTAGTTCATGAATTAAAATTATGAGATTATAATTATTTTTAATTTATGTATATTTTTTTTGAGAGAAAATATTATAGTAAACTATGAATCATCATTCGAATCAGAGAATGAATCCTCTAACTAAACGGGACATCAAAATTATGATTTAAAATTATTTTAGATTTATGTCTTATTTAGTTTTAATTTTAGAATCAAAATTATTATTCATGATTTTAGATTTAAATTCTAGTTTTGAAATCAGAATCAGAATCATAGATTTGAACCACTTAAAATTAAAAGTGAATAATTTTATAATTATGAGTGATTCATAATTTAAAACATCACATTAAAGTTTAAATCTTGAATTAGAATCATCTAAACTAAATATTAATTTAAGGTGAGTCAAATCAAAATTACTATTTACTTTTTATAAATAAATACTGATTTGAAATCAGAATCATAAATCCTTATACCAAACAGCTAGATTGTAGAACCAAAAAAAAAAAAAAACACAGTTTCTTTAACGAATTTACCGTGGTCTGTTGATGGTAGCCATATTCTAGAAAAGAAAAAGGGGAAACATATATTCACTCTCAATAAATAGACAAATCTTCTAATGCAAATATATGTTCCGTGTTTCTGTTTCACGATGAGAAATCTGCTATACTCATGGCCTTCATTGATACTCACCATGTCATTAATGTCACTCAGTTCGGAAGTGTCTGGCCAATGTCTCAGCGACCAGCAATCTTTGTTGCTCGAACTGAAGGAAAGCGTCTTGTCCTATGCTCCTAAGTCGAAGAAGCTGATGCAATGGAATCAGAGCTCAGATTGCTGTTTTTGGGACGGTATAACCTGCGACGAGAAGGGACGCGTGACGGGACTTAATCTGAGCAGTGAATGGATATCTCGAAGGATTGACGATTCTAGTCTCTTCAATCTGAAATATCTCAGCGACCTGGATTTGTCCTTTAACAACTTCAGCTCAGAGATCCCGGCAAGGATTGGTAACCTCACAAACCTGAAATATCTGAGTTTATCAAATGCTGGTTTTGGTGGCCAAATTCCACAACAAATATCACAACTGTTTAAGTTGGTTAGTCTAGATTTCTCCACTCTGCCATTCTTGGAAATTTCTTCACTGAAACTTGAGAACCCAAATTTAAGCATGCTAGTTCAGAAACTCTCCAGCCTTGAAGAACTGTATCTTGATGGGGTAAACATATCAGCACGTGGGAGTGAGTGGTGTGAACCCTTGGCATCTTCCTTGCCTAATCTGCGAGTGTTGAGCTTGTCCAACTGTTTTCTTTCTGGCCCTATTGATCAGTCGCTTGGAAAGCTTCAGTCTTTGTCGGCGATTCACCTGGATAATAACAATTTGTCTTCTCCAATCCCAGGATTCATCACAAGCTTCTCAAACTTGACTTCCTTGCGTCTCAGTTCTTGTGGGTTGTATGGAACTTTTCCCAGAGAGATCTTCCAGGTACCAACACTACAAATTATTGATTTATCAAATAATCAGTTACTCCATGGTTCGTTGCCTGAATTTCCCGGAAATAGCGCACTTCAGAGAGTGGAACTCAGTTCCACTAATTTTTCAGGGAGATTACCATTATCTATTGGTAACGTTACAAACTTGTCTCTATTACACCTTTCCAATTGCCAGTTTAACGAAACGCTTCCAAGTTCTATGGAGCAACTTTCTCAAATTGTTAATGTGGATTTATCAAATAACAAGTTCATCGGTCCAGTCCCATTTTTTAAAATGTCGAAGAACCTGACTCGAAGAGTTCTATCTCACAATAGTTTATCTGGTGAAATTACATCGGGTCACTGGGAAGGCCTCGCGAAGCTTGTTGTTGTTGACTTGGGGGATAATCTTCTCAATGGGAGCATCCCTTCATCTCTGTTTGCACTTCCATCATTGGAAATGGTTCGTTTGTCCTACAACCAATTTGTAGGTCAACTTCCTGAATTTACGAATGCCTCTTCCTCATTACTGGACACCCTCGATTTGAATAGCAACAACCTAGAAGGGCCTATTCCATTGTCCATCTTTGACCTTCAAAACCTTGGCATGCTCTCTCTCTCCTAAAACAAGCTCAACGGTACCATACAACGGTACCATTCGTGGGTTTCGCGCTCTTAGTAGTCTTGATCTATCATACAACAACTTGTCCGTTGTTGCCAGGGGTAATGATCCTACTTGGTCTGCTTTTTCCACCGAGATTAGCACATTAAATCTTGCTTCTTGCAGATTGGGAATATTTCCTAACCTAAAGAACCAAGCAAAGCTTGTCTCTTTGGATCTTTCAGATAACCAAATACAAGGGGAAGTACCTAATTGGGTATGGGAACTTGGGAATGGTTTTCTTTTACATTTAAATCTTTCACATAACAGCCTGACGAGCCTGCAAGAACCTTATTCAGTTCCATATTCTCTGAATGTCCTTGACCTACATGCTAATGATCTCCATGGAGAAATCCCGATTCTACCACCATATGCCGGTTACATAGGTCTATCTAGCAATGCTTTCACTACTATTCCAGCTGACTTTGGTAAGTATCTTCCCTTTGCCTATTTCATCTCCCTTTCAAACAATAGCCTGGCTGGAGTTATACCTGAATCCTTATGCAATGCAAGCTACATTCAAGTTCTTGATTTTTCCGACAACAATTTAAGAGGCGCAATCCCAATTTGTATGTCTGTAATGAGCGAAACTCTTGGGGTACTGAATCTAAGGAGAAACAACTTGACAGGTCGAATTCCTGATGCATTTCCAGTAAATTGTGGTTTAAATACACTCGACCTCAATGGAAATTCATAGAAGGGCATATTCCAAAATCTCTAGCCAATTGCATTAATTTAGAGGTTCTGAACCTTGGGAACAATAACTTGTCAGACAAATTTCCATGTATTCTGAAGAAGATATCTTCCTTGCGGGTTGTTGTTTTACGCTCCAACAAATTTCATGGTCCCATTGGATGCCTTAATACCATTGGAACTTGGACGAAGCTTCAAATTATTGACCTAGCTCACAACAATTTTGATGGTGAACTACCTGGAGAAGGCATGAGAAAATGGGAGGGAATGGCAGTAGTAGGAGATGATGACAACTCAGAGCTCAATCACATACGATTTCAGTTTCTAGAGTTCAGTCCACTATATTATAAAGATTCCATAACAGTTACCCTTAAAGGTCTAGAGTTGAAGCTGCAAAAGATCCTACATGTCTTCACTTCCATTGACCTTTCATGCAACAAGTTTGTTGGAGCAATACCAGAAGAACTAGGACTGCTGCAAGCACTCTATTCCCTCAATTTATCCTACAATGCTCTCACAGGAAAAATCCCTTCATCTGTTGGTAACTTGCGACAACTCGAGTCTTTAGACCTATCGAGCAACTACCTTAATGGAACTATCCCATTGTCGCTTGCAACCCTCAATTTCCTGTCCTTCCTAGACCTCTGCTCTAATCAGCTGGTCGGTATGATCCCCACAGGTATGATCCCCACAGGTACTCAGATTCAGACATTTCCAGCTGATCATTTCGAAGGAAATGAAGGACTATGTGGACCTCCATTGGTAGTAAGTTGCAGCAGCAGTTCCAGCGAGCCAACAAACTTTGTAGCAAAAGCTGCCTCGGGAATTGACTGGAACATGATTGCTGCCAAGATTGGATTCATCGTCGGGTTCGGAAGCATTATTGGCCCGCTATTGTTTCTCCAGAGATTCAGGAGATGGTACTACCAATGCATTGATGACATTACTTTCAGACCTTCCCCCAGGAATGCAAAAGGATTTGGTTCATGTAGAGAGATGTGTTTACATGAATTGAAGAGATATTTGCCTCTTATCATTTAGTTTGGTAAGTAAAATTAGATTCAAGTAGTACGTTTTCCTCCATGCAACTAGTTTAAGTTCTTATGGTATGGAATGAAGCTCATCAGTTTTTTTTTTTTTTTTTTTAAGAAATGGAATAAATGTACTCTGTTATATTAATAGTCTTCAATAATAAAAAGGTACTCTCTGTTTGATGTTTTCTTGTTCTTGTCTATCATTTAGCGATGGAGTCTGATTTACTTTTCTGATATTAGCTAGAGTTTTAAAGTATACTGAATTTTGCAATATAATAAAGAGATGTGCACAAGCACAACGGTGAAAGTATATATATTAGTATGGAAAAGGCTGGTAACTTTCTTATAAAAAAAGTAACACTTTCCAGCTATATATATCAAGTTTATAGTTGTCAAAATTACAATACAATGGAATTGATCCGGTTCCAACTTGTCAAGGGACAAAATGTAATATGGTGCTCCAATCACGATTAATGTCATGGAAAAAAAAAATCACTATTACCGTGGCGTTTTATTAGATGTCTGGACAACAAATGGGACCCAATTTTAGTCACCTTTTTAAAAATTTCCAAGTGAGAGAGCTTCTCCAACATCCAAAGAAAGAGAGAAATAAAAATATGTGGACTTTTTGATGAGAAGATTAAAAGTTGGATAGTTCTATGCAACAAGAAAATTTGAGAGGGTAAGTTGGTCTAATCATGGAAATACATACAAATTTAGTAGTCATGTTTGGTGTTATATAAACATTTTCAAACAAGAAAATGTGTACGTAAATAGGGGTCTATTGTGATTGTTTCTTTAACATATTGACTGATTTTAGCAAGTGGTGGTGGTTCTATTTATTCAGCTCAATTTCAGTTATGCTCAATTAAAGCTCCATCACCTAAAACTTGAGGGGTTTTTTTTTCTTTTTTTCCTTTTAACAATTGAGTCCATCACCAGAATGCAGTTATAGTTGGCGACTGCAAAAGATTCCAGCAATCTTCTCCAGCATTTACCTTTCAAGCAACAATTCGAATCATTTAAAGGGAACTCGCAGGAGTGCTTAGACCTCTCATGGAACTAATAAAACGGAACAATCCCATCATCAATCCAGAAACTTCAGCCCCGTTTTTTTAAAGTTCAAATCAGAGTTCAACTTTTTTGCTATAGTGTTTTTTTTTTTTTTTTTTTTTTTTTAAATTTTGATTTTGAGTTCAAATTTCCCTATCTTTTTTTTTTAAAATAAAACTCTAGGCTTGTAATCTCACGACTAGAACAAATAAGAAACGTATCTCCTAGTTGGATTAGCCATGTCTTTGAATTTATTTTGCGATTACTCGTGTTCTTTTTTTTTTTTTTTTTTTTTTTTTTTGGTAAAGAGTGAAACACATCCGTTTCATCAGGATAAGTAAGAGGACACAAGCCTTGGCTCCACAACTATTTCCATAAGACACCTCAGAGAAAGACGAAATATACAATAAGGGCCCTTCTCTTAGCGTCAATTGCTAAAGGATCTTTCTTCTTAACATAGGAAAAAAGGTAATAATTCCCTTGCAAAAACGGCAAACCGAAATCTGGGAATGCTAAAGGGGGATGAATAAAGGAAAGATATTAGCAAAGTTAGATTTCCAGTGGGGGTACAAAAAAAGTTAAATTAATATAAACAAAAAGGATTTAAATGGTGTGTGAATAAGGATGCATGCTTCCACTCAACGATGAAAATATTGATATTTATGAAAACATCGGTACTTAAATTTTACAGAAATATTGACATCAGTGAAAATTGACGTAAAAAATAAGTTTTCATACTAAAATACTTTATTTTTAAATGAGACTTTAAGAAATCTTAAAATAAATAATAATACATTAGTTAGAATCAAAATATTAATTATTTGATAAATGCATAGTAAAGTGTAATCAAAATCTCATAATTGCTAAGTACACATTCACAAATTAAATAAAAAAAACAAAAAACCAAATAAAAAGGAAGGCTAAGTTCAGATAAAAAAAAGTAAAAAATAACATAACTTTGACATTTTCGAAAAGTGAACTGAAAAATATATATAAAGTCACAGAAATTATCACGAAAAACAGATATTTTCACGAAATTTCCGTAAAATTTTCACGATATTCGGTCTTTTGATACTACTTTTTCTTAGAAATGGATATTTCCGTAAGAATATCGATATTTACAGAAATTTCTGTGAAAATTTTATAATATTTTGCGAAAAACATATTACACCATTATTTCTAAATCGGCACTTCCAAATACGGAAATTTTCAAAAATTTAAATAAAAATGTTAATTTTTTCATCCTTGCTCCCACTAATTCTAACGTAAATCCGTGTTCAGGGAGTAAATATGCCTTGGACTGTGTCCCCTGAACCCAATGGCTCTTTTTAAGTAGGGATATTTATATTTTTATATCTTGTATTTTGGGTTTATTTAAAAACCTTCAATGCTTGATCTCATCCAATATATATCTTCAATTAGATTTAATATACAAATCTATACTTTATCTCGGTCAATAATTAATTTTGACTTTTAAAATGACCAAACTATCCTTAAGAAAAATGAAAATTAAAACTTTCCAATATTAAAAAAACAACAAAAAAACCATTTCAAGGGTATTTTGAGTATTTTTGTGGTCAACACTATAAGTTTAAATTTTTCTTTAAGTTTCTTTTTTTCATTTACCTTTTTTATTCAAGGGTATTTTTGGTTTTTTAAGAAAAAAATTGAAGGTTGACCGTGAAAAAGTATAGATTTGTGTATTAAATCTAATTTAAAAATATATATATATATATATATATATTTGATTAGATTAAAAACCACAAGTATAGATTCTGAAATACCTGGTATAAAATGGTATATGTTCCTTTTAAGTTTTTACCATAATACTAAAACTTTTTACATTTTCCATTCAAAAATAACATATTATTTTTTTCCCTTCTTGAAAATTATAAATTACGACATTTAGATATTTTTTTTGAAATTTCAAAAAGTGTGAAACGACTACAAGTTTTAAAAAGGAAAAACATAAAGGGAAGATTAAAGCAAAATTAGATAACTTAGACCTAGTTCATTTCACCTATTTAAATTTAAAATTTGAGTTGTTACAGTAAAAAGTTCTCAAAAACAACCATATCTAACTTTTTTGTTACAATAAAAAATTCTCATATAAAATTACATCTCAACTCGAATTAAAAATTTACATCAGTGAACTAAACGGGTCTGATTTCTAGTGAGAGTGAATGTGAAGCTGAGATTTGAATTAAGACCTCAAAGGGCCGAAGAAGGTCGCAAAAGCGGGCTGATACAAATAGGGAGAGCATCATGCCAAATACAAACAGAAGAAAATTTATGCCCTAACAGGAAAAAAAATAAAAAGAAAGAAAAAAAAAGTTGAAAGTATTATAAACAAAAAGGATTTAAATATGGTGTGAGTAAGGACATACGCTCTCACTAACCCTAATGAAAATCTGTAACTGATGTTCAGAGAGCAAAGATCCTTATACTGTTCCTGGGGCTCAATGACTCTTTTTAAGTTTTTACTTCAATACTAAAGTCTCAAACTTTTGTACATTTGTTCTTTATTTTCCTTCCTAAAAATTTCAAATTACAACATTTAAATATTTTTTTTTGAAAAGAATAATTATACCTGAGTTTTGGTTTTGAAGTATTTTACATTTCAAATTTAAAATCTCAAATGAATTAATTAACACTCAACTATACTGTTAGTCAAATTCACAATTTTTTGGACTCTTAAACTTAATAATTTGAATCAAACTCTACTATAAGTTTAGTTCATTTAGCAGAAAAAAGCTGAAAGATACGAGTAGATGAACAAAGAAAAAAATATTGTTGCATTATAATCTTAATTCAAAAATTTAGTTTAATTCACACCCCCATTCCAAAAACTTCCTTGCTCCACCACTAGTTCAACTCCATGATTTTTTTCGTTTAAGTATTTTAGTCACGTTAAATAGTTGTTACCTGTTGTTTATTTATTTATGATTGATCATTAATTTGCTTAAGTATTCTTTATATTTAGTATTTATTAGGTATCCAAATTATGTAACACCCCCTAAACTAGCAAGTCATTTATCAATTTAATCATATCATCTAGCTTAAAAAGCGCTACTTCTCATAGACTTTTTATTGCTTAAATATAATCTAACAAGAAAATTTATAGGCAGCGGAATAATAAAAAATAATTAGAATAAAATAGTTAGAGAAAAAAAAAATTATGCTACTATCATTTAATTTTTCATGTTTCTGAAGGGTTTACATCTATATCACAGAATAAAACACAACTCTCTAAACAACATCTCGACTTGTCATGGGACTCATAATCTTATACTCAGCCAATCTTCAGTCCTATTTAGCCAGTAATATAACCAACCTGCATCACAAGCACTAGAGCTAAAAGCTCAATAAGTAGAAACTTATGCGCTAATATGTATTCATTGCATGAGAATGCTGCGAAACACTTCCTTGAGCCAGTCTTTCATTCTTCAATCATTTCTTTCATGAAAACAGTTTTTTCGATACTCTGATAAGATAAGTCGTGGTTTTCGGAACCTGTTCATTATTTCTTTGCTAAATATAAAATAATAATATGAGTTTCCCCTATGGTATCAGTCTTTGTGGTTTTCCTATACTGGAGTTTCGACCTCAAGTATTTACCACCGGTCTTTGGCTTCTCATGCCTATCCAAACGCCAATCAAGTACCATGCTTCATTTTAGGACAAACCTCATTCCCTTTATAACATATTTCATACCATGTGCCATGTCATGAATGCTTAAATGCATTATGAACATGTCACTTTGCCATGCATTCAATATATTTATAAATCAGACAATAAACATATAATGACATTTTATCATGTATTTTCACAAATCACAAAGTACACATAAGAGAGCATGTAATCACATAGATACGGAACAAAACATTCATAATATTGTTCTATACAGTTAACGAATCTACTTACCTCAATTCCACAGATAATATTGTATGTGAA